GATTACTATAGCAATACCATTTATTCCGAGTTCCTGGCTTTAGTCAGGAAATATTAGAAAAAAGGAAACAACAGTCTGTGGGTACTGGTAAACTCTAGATGTAGAGTTTATTTACTTTCTCAGTTGACAAAGTAAGTAAACTGGGTTATGTGTCATTCTGTCCGATCTGCTGTACACCGGATAACCGTGCTCATCTTTCTGCAGTGCTGCTTCTAGCAATGTACCTTCCCTTTTTGCTACACAGGCCATAGGATGGTATAACAGCCTCATGACACTAGGGGGTGAAATGACCCATGTTTGAAGTGCTTGCTTAAAAAGAGGGAGGAGAGTCCAAAGCCACACACTGTTTGTTGTGTGGAGCAGTGGCTCTTGGGAGAGAATAAAGGACTGCTGCATTTCATTCTAGCCATTTAACAAAAGCAGGGACTGATTTCAATGTTGGATACAAGAGGAACACAATTAATTAGTAATTGATTGTAAACTAGCAGTCCTTAGGCTTCCAGTGCCCAAGTGTATAATAATAATAATTTGTTATGAAACCAAGATCCTGGATTAGATGTTTAGTCTTAATAAAGTCATCTTCTCATTCGGAGCCTCCTCGGCAGGGACTTTGTGACTAGAATGCAACTGGCTGACAGTGTTTGGTTGTGACTGGCAGCGTGTTATGACTTCTGCTCTAAGGCCGCATACAGCCACCTGTATCCCATCATTCACTTCTCTCTCCAGTTTTGTGATGGCGGTTAAACTAAAGGCTTTTCCCTTGAAGAACTTTGTTTATCTTCACAGACATTTGTACTTAATTGTTCTGGCGTCCGTCCTGTTTACACTCTCACATTGCCTGTCGGAGATAAGGTCTTTATTGACAATAGCACTGTTGAAATTACTTGTTTGAATTAATGCTCCTGAAGCCAGTGTTTGGCAGGATGTGGCTGCCCCTATTTCATAACTCTTTGCATTGGTTTGAAACATGATTTACCAGTTGTTTGCAGTCACCTCATGTATACCTCTGTATATGTCTGGCCTGCGAGATTAAGTTAATATACCATAGGTTAAAAGGTGGACATTCGGAGACTTGTACTGATTGTGTAACACAGGGAAGTTTGGCAAGATTAGCAATTAAAGTCTATGCTTCTCAACTGTAAATTAAAACCTAAATGACCCTAGGCACAATCTCATACAGTGCCCAAAAGGAACATTTAATATCCAGATCTCTGATTGCCTCATTTTAGTAGGCAAGGCCACCGACCTCTGCATCAATCTTTCTGATTGGCTTAATGACGATGGTTTTGACCTCATTATCCTTGCCCCTCTGACCGTCTCTCCCCTCTCTCATTTATCTCCCCTTTCTCCTTTCCTTCTTTCTCCCGGTGTAAGACCCGTACATCAGGCTGATACTAGTCTTTTGTTAAAAGTCGGATATTGCGCTGTCGTGTCATCACTGTATGGTACGATGGAGGTTTACACTGTGGATAACTAACAGTAATTTGGTCATTCTAAATGTGTTAAGGGGTATTCTATAAGAATTAATTCGATATTTGATGTTTAATTTTTAATAATAAGAGTTCATGAAGCGTTTTGCTTTAGGGATGTCCCTGTAATAAAATCAGCCTTAATTTCCTTATGTTGGTCGTCACTAGAGAACTTTAACAGCCTATGGTGATATAGCGGTTGTTTTCAGGAGCTTTACACACTGACAAGGAGTGCTGGGGGCAACACTTGTATTGTTTTGCCTTCAAGCATACTGACTGTTAACATACTGTTAAGTCAAACAGTATCACTATGGCAGTGTTAGTATTGGCTTCCAATGCCATATCAGTTTCATCTAATCCTTCCTTTTTCTCCCCCTCCAAGAGAAAACACTGCATATTTTCTCTGGCAATGTTTAAATATCACTCTCAAGGTTGTGGCTGAGAGGCTGTTTGGGAGTTGTTGTCTTACCCCCCTCTCTTTCTCTCGCTCTCTCTCTCTCTCGCTCTCTCTACAGTGAAGAATATCAAAGCACTGCTTATGACATCCCTTCAATTACAGTAATACCCAGAGAGTCCTCCAACAGCTATAATGTGAGAAACACTCTACTTGACAACCTGACACCATCTATCACATTGTGTATACACACTTTTTTTAACACATACTTTCTTAAACTTCCATTTGTAAGGTCAATAGTTCATTTGACCTTCTCTCACTCTTTCTCTCCGGATCTCTGGATTAAGGTGTTGCTATAGCTAAAATGTTTTACCTCGTAAATATTTAAATTGTTTGTTTGATCATCTCTCTCCCTTGTCAATTTTTTATTTATACTTCAAATATACAATGTCCCTGCAGTGAGTTTGTGATTATTTGGCTTAATAATGAAAACTGATTGTGGCCAATAAGGTCATTTAAATGTTTGATTCAGACATACACCGATCAGCCATAACATTATGACCACTGACAGTTAGATAGATAGACTTTATTAATCCCCGAAGGGAAATTGGGTCATCATAGCAGCCAGGTACATTAAATACAATAAAATACAATAGAATAAAATACAACAATATTGAAAATAAAGATATAAAACAAACTACAAACAAACTAAAAAACACTAAAAACCGACAGTAATACCCGGAGCTGACTAGCAACAGCTCCTCTAGGATGCGCCATTTTGCATCCAGTTGAAGCGCTTCTCCAAAAACTGCAGCTCTGTGTTGGGTGTTCCCGACCTGCAGTGGTCAGTCCTAGCAAAGTGGTCCAAGGAAGGTAAATGGTACTAATGTACTAGCTTTGCAGTGTAAGTGCAGGGAATAACTAGCAGTAACTAACTTTCATTGTGGACCAGTCAATGAAGTGATAAAAGTTACAGAAAAACACTTTTTAAACTATATTCATTATGTATAACAAAAAAACAAATGAAACTGGATTGTTAGGTCTGGGACTGTTAAAAGTAGAATTTGGGAAAGTTGCAGGACACAGAGGAAAAAAGTTAGTTTCGAGCCCTGTGTTGAGCTGCTTAAATGCCACACTGTACACTGTACTAGTTAGTCACTAACTTTATCTGTGTATCAGTGTAGAAGGTGAAGAGGAAGGGAACCAAGACTTTTCAGACCATGTTGAGCCGCTATGTTTCTATATTAGACCAGAATGTAAAAAACCAAAGACCCCTAGATAGGGTCAAATTTTTTTTGAGTTTCAAGGGCACTGTAGTTTCTTGAGAGACGAAGGATATTAAATTAGTTGTAATCTGCAACTTAACCACTAGATTCCACTAAACAAACTGGTCCTTTAAGTCTTCAGATCCTGGTGCAGCCTGTCGTTTTCATTAAGATTTTATTTTTCTCAATTCATATTTGCGACTGACATCAGAGAACGATTAATAGTAGGAAATAAACAGCTTTACTTAGCGGAAGTTGGCTTTGTTTTACAAAGCTTACATCCTATTCCCTCTGTAGGCTTTATGGTCTGTGTTGCCCACACCTCCCCATCCAGGATCCTTTTTTTCAGTGCAAATTGCACTGCAGCTAGTTTACAGCCAGTAAGGAAACACTCCTGAGAGGCTTCCAACGTTGGCAAACAAACACTTCAGCTACTTAGCTGATATTTCTTTTCCAGCAGTGTTGTTCTATCAAAGCCTATCTAAATTCTACACAGGGAGTAGCAACAATTAAGAAATATTGAGATGAGATCCACCTTGCCTCAAGGTCTGAGGAGGTTATGATCGTGAGAAAGTATGTGTGAGAGTAGAGCAAATCCATTCAACCTATTCTCCTTAATCAGTGATGCCAAGTAGAGAATCAAGGAAAAAGTCAAGGCTACAGGAAACAGGTACACATACAGTACAGTAAGCTTGTTCCTATGATGCTGATGAAGGTGAATTCTGACACTCAAAAAACCGGTTTTGCTTTGTTGTCATAATATCTTCCCATTAGGGATAGATGACTCACAGTTAACACACCGCTGCGGCATTATTACAGACATAGAGTAGCATCTGGTACAACAGAGATAAAACTTCACCAACAGCATACTGCATAGTTATCATATGGTTAATGTGCTATTAATTTTTTACTGAAGCAGCACACCACCACCCACTGGAAATTATTTGTTGCTAGTAACATTTGCTGTTGTCATGAAGAAAGCTCATCATTCCAGTTTTAGTGATTTCCAAACTTTAGTTAAAGAATTAATTGGTCCTCTTTGGGTTGGAAAAAAAAAGGACCCTTAGGCCATGAGACTGTTTAGATCTTTTGAATTCAAAAATACACCTTAGAGAGAAACTAAAAATAAACTTAAAACTCAGGTTTATGTGCAAAAGTCATCTGATCCCTGACCTTAAGCATACCTTCCCATGCATCACTGGCCACCACACTAACAACGTGGCCGCTCCATTTTAAAGTTACAGGATTTTTTACCACACCGTTGGAAGGAAAAAATTACACAGAATCTGCAACCAGCCTCCCAAAGTTTCAAATGACGAAGACTGAACTCTTGTCCGCACCAAACTCTTCTCATCCTCAAAACTTGTCTCCCCTCTCTCCCTCTGACGCCGCACTTCAAACAGCTTTGCACAGCGTGTTATGCTGCATAGCAAAGAGTGACTGTGTCCCTTCCCGTGTTGAAAAGGCGCCTGGGTGTTAGAGAGCTTGTCAGTAGAAATCTGTCAAAAGTACTCAGCAGAGTTACTGGGGCCTGAGGAGTACAATACCGCCAGACAAAGAGGGTTTACCCCGCAAACCCAGACCCTTCACATATAAATTAACTTTGCAGATCAGAAATCCAACGCCCTGGTTGACACCCTAACCGCAATCCCCATTGTTTGGCCTTTGCAGTGTACACAATACACTTCTGCTTGCACTACTCTATTTTCTGGTTCAGGGATAAGCCTGAGGGGTTGGGTTTATGAGCTCTCCATGCTGTCTGTCCCTCCTCATTTACCTAATCACGTCACCTTTCATTTCTTTAGATAAGCAAATAGGCCTCCAGTCTGCTTCTTCGCTATTGGTCATATCCAGGCCTGTCTTCAAAAGGAGGGGAGGTGCTTGAAACTGACTCAACCGGACTTCTTCAAAACTTTCCCTGCTTGCTAGTGTAACTGTTCCAGATCTGTACCTCACAGCTGATGAGCGTCAAGGGAATGTAAGGAGCTCTGATGACATTAAAAAAGCATGTGAGCTCACCTTGGATTACATTTGTGGTCAACTCTGAATGGAATACTCAGCAGACAGCGGACTCGGTCGGACATTAAGGTAAAATCTTAATTTCAGGCAATGTTTGCTACTGTAAATGTGTTTAAAAGTATGCTGTGATTTGAGATTGTAAAGCAAGTATGTAGAAATAAGTCCTACCCTCATTTAGTCCTCTTGGTAGTTTTTGTTGTATAGCTATTTGTTTATTAATAGAAAGTCTAGCCTGAACATGAAGACGAGTGTAAAATACCACTTGCTCAACTTTTGGAATATCTTAAGCAGAATGAATTATTTAAAGAAGTTAAAAGACCAGCATGCACAGTGCAATTGTTTGTCCTGTGATGGAATACAACATTGGGGACTCCTGCTGTTCCACCTGCATGGAGATGAAAGAATGTCAACATAAGATTTCCTTCAGAAACACAGACAAAAGGAGCAGATGGGTAGCAGGAAAGAAAATATTGGCTTGTTTTAGAGAACAAAACGTTCAATCACAGAGAGAGAGAGAGGCTCGACTCCTTTTGCAAACTCTGCTCCAGTTCTTCCAGGTTTTTAGGCTAAACACAGAAGAATGTGCTCCCAAATCCTTTGAGCAATTTTTTTAATCGGCTCTTCTGGGTCGGTACAGGTAGGGAGAGAGAGGAAAGGGAAGAAGTTCAGCCAAGAAAACACAGGATACTGTTGCATTCTTTCAGCTCGGAGAAGTTTGTTAACAGTTACAACACCCTGTGTCTCTAGCACAACACACACAAACAGACAAAAAATAGGGTCTTTCCTGTTTGAAATCTATCCAGAAATGGGATAGTCTGAGATTTGAAATGCTCCACTTCTCAGCAGCCAAACACTCTGTTCCCCCCACACAATCATGTGCTTCCAGAAGATTATGTTTAGGGCCTCTAAACCTCAAATCCTTGGGTTGCTGAGGCAGTTTCAAACTGTTGGTATGCCCATTTGAATGTATAGGAATCTGTGCTTGAATGCACTTTAGTTGTCAAAGGCTTTCAGGAAGTCAGATTTTAATCAGAAGCACCTCACTTGTTTACTCTAGCTTTTGCAGGAATAAACATTCTGGAGTGAGGGAAGGGAAGTGAAATCCGTTCAATATTCAGCAGCAGTTGTGAAGATATCTTTATTTAAAAACAATATACACAACCGATCTGACAAATTGTGTGTGCGCTTCTTTCTTATAGTTTCAGTTAACTTGTTTATCAAGGTCATTTTTCCTATACTCGTCATTATGTAGAATGTGAGACAACCTTTTTCTTCTTGTTTTTGCTGAGTATGTCATTGAACACAAACAACCCACTCGGTTCTCATGGGAAAAGGAACTCGAGTCAATTTGACTGATGTCGCAGATAGACTCTCTGCTTGTTTGTCTCATGTTGTTTCTCATACGGTTAAAAATATATCTCAGTGTTCAGCACAGTGCAGATATGGCTCATCAGTTATGCTCATATCAGGATGGATGAACTTATAATGATGTAAACAAACACTGATCGGGCTTTATTCACAGTGGACACACCAGAGTGCACAGTTCTGGGTTTCAGAACGATTGCTTGAACTACAGGAGATGGGTTTTGTAAAGGAATTGTGTCCTCAAGGTAGACGGGGTGTTAAGGGAATGTCCCTGTCCTTAAGGCTTTACATGCTATATGAAAACAATGTTGTACCCTAGAGTTTATATACTGCTAACTTTATACATAGTAAAATGTTCACTGACGTAGTTTATTTGTTTTCCTATAATATCCATTCTTGCAGTACAATATTAACTTGTAGAAATTAAAACTTGGGCTGACCCTTAATCGTTAGTCGCTGTAAAAAAGTCTTAGTCGACCAACTTTTCACTAGATGGATAAAAAAACGTCACACTCTTCAGGAGCTGCACTCTGTCACCTGTCTAGGCCTGTCTCAGTAATTTCTGACTTACCATACAATATATACGATATGTGATTATCACCTGTGATAATATCAACATATCGTTTAAGAATGTCACAACATTTTAGGCAGAATAAACAGCAGGGTTTTCCATATATATATAGTCTATATCTTGCCCCTGTGCCAAATGTTTCATTTTTATTTATGTGCAATTGCTGTTAACAGAACCAGAGGGTCCCTTTTATTTATTGTTTTGGCTGTGTGGTTTTATTTATTTATTTTTTTACAAGGATATTTTTTACATTCCAATTCAAATGTCTAAAATATTCTTCTATTGCTCTTTGAATAAGTGTACTTGCATTGTTATGCTTATTATATCAGTGGCGTAAAATGGTCTGAAAATGACAGTAATATATTTATTTCTGGAACAATATATTCCAACAAAAGTAGCCCCCCCTTCCTCTACTTTACGCATTCAGTTTAGCATAAGCTTATATATTCTTTTTTATCCTCTACTTTAATGTAAATATTTTTTATCTTGCTTTATTCTCATTGCCGTTATCTTCTGCAACAATCCAGCTCGCCAACAGGAGTCATTAAAGTTTAATGCTATTTATTTTTCAGCATTCTCCCATCAGCATTGACAAGAACTTTACATACAATAATAACTTTGTGTCCTGAGGAGCCAGCTTTGGTGAGGGCTCTTCCACAATGAGAGACCGCTTGGAGGAGCTGCAGCACAGGGCTCAAGACCTTTCTGAGGCAGCAAGTGAGAATACCAACCCTTTGTCAGCGGACGGTGATAATGATGACCCCATGGTGGCCGGGGTCATAACACCACAGGCTGTGGTGTTTGAGGAGGAGCCAATCATTGAGAATTTCCTGTCTGAGGCTCAGCAAATCCGAGACGATATCACAGTGCTGGACATAGAGGTATATTTTAGTTTGTTTGTTTGTTTGTGTAGTATGCATTTATTTTTCTTCTTGGATTGCATTTACTGTATATCTATTAACCTTGGTTGCATTGGTTTTCTGTTAATTTTTATGGTTTCCTAATTTCTTGGAAGTACTTTTAAGTCATATTCCTACAAGACACTCATTTTTTTATTTCTTATTAATTCTTCTTCTAATTTACAACCTTTTTTTTTATCATTTTCATTATTAATTATTATAAACTCCAAACTCGACTGAAAGAAGAGAAGATTTAGATTGTATGATCGTGCTGTTTCTGGTTTCATTTTTCATTTGTGGTCAGAAGTGATACTGAACACAAATTTTGTCTAATCGCAACTATAAACAGGTCCTTAAATTCGGCCAGCAGCAAAAGACCCTGGTGGCAACAATGCGTCGGTTCAGTGTGATGAAGAAAGAGAGCAGTATAACCCGGGACATCAAGCTCCGGGCCGAAAGCCTCCACCGACGCTTAGATGCGCTTTCAAAACAGGTCCAAAGGACTGAGGACAGGCAGGGACCTACTGCTGTTACAACAAGAATACAACGCTCCCAGCATGCAGCACTGTACCGGAAATTCCAGCAGGTTGGGAAGATGATCCTCCCACTTTGCTATGGACACTAACACATAACATTTTCTTTTTTTTCTGACTGGGAAAGATCCTTTAGTGCATTCAGAGTGATGAGTTTTTACATTTATACATGGTTTGAAACATTAGAAATATGCTACTTTTGGCCTCACAATAGAAATGATGTATTTTTACCTCGAAAACAAGTGTTGTGGGTCATATTTATCATTGTAGATAAAATGAAAGATACAGTAACATAATATATTAAAATTCATACATAAACTGTAAAATGTATTATAAATAAATTATATATATATAAATTATAACAGTGCGACAGGGTGTTAGTACATTTGATTACCTAATTTCCTCATGTCTGTCTTCCCATGCTAATGTTTACAGTAAACACATTGTGTAACACAATATCTTTTGTTGTACTGGCAAGAGTGTCAAAGAACCAAACATAAATTACTCTCAAGCCAAAAAAAGTTGGGACAGAAATATCTTCTCATTTTTAATTTCCTCTCCCCCTCATACTTTTTATTCTCTCTTTTTGCTATAATTATGTCCAGGTAATGCTGCAGTATAATGAAGGTCTGCTGACCAAGCAGGAGCGCTGTAAGCACTTCATTATCCGGCAGCTGGAGGTATCGGGAAGGGATGTGACAGAGGAGGAGGTGAATGAGATGGTGGCCACAGGAAAATGGGAGGTCTTCAATGAGAACCTGCTGAATGATGTCAGAATCACACGGTCACAACTATCTGAGATTGAACAGCGACACAAGGTGAGGCCATGACAAAGTTATCACATGATAATATGGTAATCATTTGCTAATGCAATTTGTTATGTCACCAAGCTATTAGCTATAGGAAATAATTGTTTTGTCTTTTGTGCATGCTGTGGTTTCGAAACTATATTTGGGGGAATTGTGTCTTGATTTTTACATTTGAATATGAAGGTTAGTGCCTTTTTTCCAACAACAGCATTACAGTGGTAGCCATAGCTGGGAGCTTGTGGTCTGAAAGCTCCAATATATCCAACTGGGAGCTAAATAATATTAAAAATCAAATAAATGCTGCTAAATCAAACAACCTTAAGTGCCACATCTCAGCTGAAATGTCCCATTCATTAATGCTTATTGGGTAAATTCATGTTTTTTTAAATCATACAAATGTGGCTAATTGCTAATAACTATTAATTCAGTGGTTAAATTGCACTCATTACGCTGGCAGTCATCATCTTGAGTCGTTTGATAGCATGAATGCTTGCAAGTCATAAGCCTGACAATGTTGCCCATCACTACCATCTATCCTACACGTCTCCCACATTACTATAAGTGACACAAATGGGTAGAGAAAAGGAAATAAACTGAAGTGGAAATTAGAAATTAGAAATCTGTTATACGATGTTCAGACAACCCCAATGAAATGAAGATATCTAATTGAACTGACATCCAAATGTAAAAAGCCCATTTATTGTCAGCACTGAAGTCATGTTGTATAAAAGAGCTGGATCTGTTCCTTCACTTCATCATAAGGCTTTCGGTTATCTCTCCAACCACCTCCAGCCTCTGGACTAATGCTCCTCATATCTGCAGTATTAATCATATTATCCTTCTCCACCAACAGGAGTTGTTGAGCCTGGAGAACAATATGAAGGAGCTGAGGGACCTGTTCATGGACATTTTCATGCTGGTGGAGGAACAAGGGGCCTACATTGAACACATCCAGACCAACGTAGAGAGGACACAGGATTATGTGGCTGCCTCAAATGAGAAGTTCAAGTTGGCCGCCAGGTACAAGAGGAAAAACCCACTTCGACAGCTGTGCTGCTGCTGCTGCCCTCCCTGGAGATGCTGCTTATAAAACATATGCATTATATCTCAACAGGCATTCCAAATAAGGTTTTTATTTCAGAAGTCTTACTTACCTGTTTGGGGGCAAGCAATGTTGGATTCAAGTACCATTAAAGTGAAGGTTATGGTACTGCGGTTTTTGCTGTTGAACAGAACGACGGTGAAGACAGATTCAGCAGAGCATAGAAAACAATTAGGAGGAAAGGCCAGAATTGGTATTTGAGGCACTTGTTTCTTTCAAGTGGATGTGAGGCGACTGCTATTGGAAGAGACAGTTCAGTGAGTGCTACTCACCAACACTGCTGCTTATTGGAGACCTTCACTGTCATCTGACAGAGGTCACAAACAAGGGGAGACCACTGCCTTTGCCACTGCCACTGCTAGATCAGCAAGACTGATATTTCACCATTTTTTTCAAAAGAGCCTCTCATATTCTTTCTGCCTCAGGAGCTCTAGTTAATGACCATTTATTTTTTATACAGTATGTGCACTTTAAGACTTCTCCATCTTTTTTCTCTCTATTCTTTTCACCACAAATGTATGTTCGAACTTAACATAGTGGAGAAAGATTTTGAGCCATTATGTATTCATTTCATTTTCGGTCCGCATGCTGATGAAAAAAAAAAACTTGTTTTACAATTAGTCATTAGTCTCATTTGCATTTCAAAGTATGATCCTTTTCAGTGAAAAAAATATTATTACTTCATTCGGTTTCACAGAGACAAGGATTCAAGTAAAACTTTGAACATTTGAATAACGAGTCATGATCAAACTATTTTTGTCACGGTGACAGCTGCAGAAAATCATTGAAGTTATTTGTTTAAAAGTAAGAAAGATTTTATGTCCTACATTTCAGGAAATATTTAATGAATTAATTTATATTTTGGAGTGGAAATTCAATGTACTGAAACTGTTAGATTTCAGATGAAAAGATCTGGCGTTCATGTGTATCATTATTATTAAAATAATTGTCACATAAAAAGGGAGCAGTGGCTTTAAATCGGGCGAAAAGCTCTCGTCGAGTACCAGCACTATGAAATAAAATACGTTGTATGGCATTATGTTGTATTACTGATCAACAGACTTACACCAGTTGACAGGTAATCATCTCCCGTTTCACCTTTTACTTAATGTCGAGTCGAAAATACCAACTCATTTTCCCTGCTGGGATAATGACTAAGATATAATAAGTCAGTAATTCATCTGAGGAGATACAGTCACCCCCTTATTGGCACAATGGCTCTATACTAGCTTCTCATCAGCACTGACAGTGATGGTCTTTAGTGACTCAGTGACCCATGGTGTCTGGTGTCCGGGACAAAATACAGGTGAACTGGGCGTGCCAGAGCCAGACTGGAAAATCTGGTTTGTCTGCGGTTCCAGGGCGGCTCTCAGACAGCTACTGTGTGTACAGTGTGTAAACAGAACCGTTAACTTATCGCATATGGTAAGAAGACCCACCATGGTTAAATAGTCTTCTTTTTCAATAAAATGACTACCAGGCTCACAAAAAATGTAAAACATATTGACCATTTTAACTTCAGCTTGACAGACAACCATAAAAATGCCCAAAAATGACGCTTTTGTAAGTCAGTTTAGTCGCCTCTCCAGGGATTGATAAGTCATAGGATCCTAAAGAAACACACCTGTCAATGTGGTGCTTTACTTAGGTTAACTATCATATACACTGTTCCCTCAGGTCTAGTAGAGGAACCAGGTGTGACGTGAGGGGTAATGAGTTCTGCTATCTGACTGGAAAAGTCTTTCCCCGAATCTGTGTTATAAATCAGTCTCACTCTGATTAGAATTATATTTTGAAAAAAAGACATAAATACATCAAACATGTAAATTTGAATATGTAAATCAAATAACAATATATTGTAATTCAGCACAGCATAGTTTCTGCCTCCTCCCAGACACAGTGAAGAAAAATGAAGTGCCGCTGCAAATTGCAGGGTTCTTGAACAGCAACAATGCCATCCAGTGTTCAGTGAGATAATTGCCAGTTAAGCAATAGGTTATCACTTGATGTTTAAACTGTTAAAGGCCATATTACTACATAAATATGTAATTATGGAAGTGTCATACTTGGAAAACATAACTACACAGTGTGAATTTCACTCCCAAAAGTTCTTAGAATGAAAATAGAGATATTGTTGTTGAGCCATTAACAGCTCATGGAGGTCTTTACTCAAAGCAAAAAGAAAGAAAAGAAGAATACATTTTTACATTGATCTGTTACACAGTACACACTGTTTCTACCTGCTAACAATGAAAATATATTTTTCTCCTCCACAAAATTAAGACAATAAGACAACAAAACAGTGTTCTGTTCTCTCTCTCTCTCTCTCTCTCTCTTATGAATGTCTTTTCATCTTATGAAGAAAATTATGGAACAGGTCAAACTCTTTTCTCTTGATCATGCCCAAGGGCGACACAAGCAACTGAATATATAGCGAGGTGTGACATGCAGCATATTCATAGGCACCATCACAAAGAAACCTGGGAATGAATGGAAATGGGAAAGCTAGAAGATTAAATTAAGTGGAATTTCTTCAAATACACTAACAGCAGAGCAGCAGGGATCTAGGAGAGGCGGAGGAGAGTGTGCAATCCTGAAAGAAACCTTCTGGGGTTTATATTGGTCGTCCTTGAGAACACCAGGCCATGGGAGACTGCACAGTGGTCAGCTCAGATACCTCTGGACATCTGACCCCCAGGCACGTCAGCCAGAGTCACCCCAAGCAGGTCAGCCAGAGTCACTGGCAATTTTCCCAAAACTCTCTCCTTCTCTGTCTCCCTCTCTCTCTCAGTGTAAGGCAGGGTAAGTGGACTGCTCTCTTCCCAGCAGCACCCTGCTTCACATTCAAACAGTTACACACTCTGGGAGCTGCCCTGTACAACAACAGCTTTCTAATGTTTATAGGTTCCGCTGTGGATTCATCTTGTTTACCCCCAGCTCCGAAGTTGTTATCCAGTATTTCATCTGAAACCACCTAGCCTGGAGCAGTCAGGAGTATGTTCCTGTTCCTCGCTGAATCAGATTCAACCTTCGACTCTGAGACCATCTTTGTGTTTTGACTAGTTGCACTAACCAACTCTGCACATACAGAACACCTGTTCCAAGATGCGATGACCTGAAGGCAACAAGGCATTCTAATTTACTTTGCACTGAAACTTGGCCATATTTCTTACAGGTTTTGTATGATATTTTGGCTACTAAGCAGCACTGTTCTATTTCTGAGAGAGCGTATGTCTCATTCCTCGCCTTTGCCAACTTTATGCCTTCTTTCTTGACTTCTGAATTATACTAAAATTGTATTTCATGTATTTCTGAATTTCTGAAACACATATCAGTCATCACTCATCATTGTGTGGTTGTGTACTGAACTTCTGAAAAGGGTAAATGGATATAACAGGCTCTGGATTTGTAGATTTGTAGAGCATAATAGACAAGGTTACCTTTATTTCCAGACATCCTAATATAAAAGCTGCTCATATCAATACAGTCATGCTGATGCATGTTAGGTAATGAGGGAAGAATACTGTAATGCAGTGTTGAATTACAGCTTTTTATTAGGTAAGTAACTCATGCAATTTTTATTTTTGTACATGTACTTAGAGCAACCACATATTCGTAGTGAGTGCCTCTGCCCACTTTCCAGACGAAGCCCATCAATCATCTCTGATTTAACGATAATGTGAATATCTGAGACACGTGAGAGTTTATCACCCTGATCATGGCTGACAGAAGAAATACCTACAGTACGTAGTCACTGTATCTCTATCTGCCCTGTCAGTCACAGCCTAGATCCCAAAGACTCTCTCCAAATGTCTGAACAACATCAAAGCAGCCCTCCTGTGAGTAACACCAGCTGTGGTTATAGAGAGCTGACATTACTTTACTGCCTGTTTTTATCACTCCCATCAAAATCTGAACAGAGAGATATCAGGACCCTCAGAAAGTGATAAATCAAAGAAACAGTACAGTGAGTCTGGCAACGGCAGTAGCAGGAAGAATACCGGCAATGATACAATGGTTACACTGATTTAGTAACTTGCTACACTTGACCAGGTGATTTTAAACAAACCACCTCCATACAGCAGGTACAGTGCCGCTAGAGGACACCAGAACAACAAAACAGCACAACGTTTTTTTCACCAAGTGAGGAAATACAGTATTTGCAGTTGCCATAATCCAGTTGAAATTCAGAGCCAATAAAATGGTCAAAGTTAACATTTAAGGTGCGTTGATTGATTCATGACGTCAACTGGTGCTTTGAGTGACATGCAAGAAGAGTGGCGAGTAGTCTCTGAGTGGCATAGTTAATTCATTTTTTTCCCTCTAGTCTATAGCTAGCTAACATCAACCAGTAAAGAGGAAAAGGCACTAAATCATCCTTTCATTCATCACTCACTCTTCTGACAGTTTACTTGTCATGCATTTGCAAAGAAACATTACAAAGCTAGACAGTTAAACAATACGCCTCGCCTATTAGATTATCTTTATTTGTCTGCACTACAATTTTACCTCAATGGATGTTCTGAATGCAGCTTCATTTGCTTGGCACGAGTAAATTAAATCATTCAAAAGACAAACTGCTTGTGTTCATTCATCTATACTGCTAAATGCTATGCTAATTACAAGCTAGGACATCCATGGTTATGTCTCATACAAACTACATTACAATACAATATTCTCAACATGATGAATTGTTAGTTATAGTTGATTAATGTATGTAAACTTGCCACTGTAGGAACAGTGATTACACAACCTTGAAATAAGTCACAACTGAAGTGTGCATGTGCACGACTCAAATCAAAGAACTTGGACATATGTGGCATCCTGGTGGCCTTCTTGTTGAGATGAGAACATGTAGCTGTAATATCCTGCTTTTCTTCCCATCTTTCCTATCTATAGTTACACTGCGAAACTGTCAATGGCACAAAAATGTCAAAAAAACATCTTAACAAAAGAAATTGGAATAAGACTGTTTTTCCCAATATAAGTAACAATTAAGTATTGGTTCTAACTATACAGATATGAAGAACAGTAAAAATGTATTTATTGGCCAAGGTCCATTATGTTTGAACATACAAAGAGTTTGATTATGGTTTACAGTGGCCCCTTAATGTATTTACATACAGTCCCAAGAGCAATGTTCTGCTAAACAAGGATAACAAACTTAAGAAAAACAAAAAACAATATAATGTACCTGTACATAAAAGTGAGTACAGAACTTGATACTCATATAAACATATAAAAACAATTCGACCTCTATATAGAGGTTTCTGTTCTGTTCTGTTCTATCAACAAACAGTGCAAGGAGTTCTGGAATAAATATTTAATGGGAAATGTGACAAGTTACCATATACAGTAGCCGGTATATGCATGTATACACACTATATACAGTATATACAGCCATCTTAGGTTTTTGGCAATGATGGATGTTATGTATGCGTTATTGCCCAATCTGTATATTAAACTGTAAAATATATCATTTGAAGGTACAGTGGATGTTTCAGTGTAAGTGTAAGCCCTACCTCCACACTTTCTCTGGCTTTCTGTATTCTGCAGACCTTTTAGAAAGTAATGATAATCAATGTTATTGCCAAGGATATTTTAAGTAAAAGACACAAAAAAGCTCAGATTATGGCCACGGGAATGTAATAAAAGCAGTTAGACCTTGACCTTCATGCTCCTTGTAACTTTTCCCCTTCTCTGACTGTGTTACTCATTTCAATAAGCTCTTGACAACAACCTGCTCGAGAGCGTATTAGCCCCGGTTTTGTAAACCAGCAAATGACAAAAGTTGACTGTTATTCATTACCTATCGAAGGACGAATGTTCAGACTTAAATATTCTGTCAAGGTGATATATGAGCTTCAGTAATAAGTGTGTGTGTGTAAGCCATCTGTGTAGATCCCATGCAGATAGAGTGAATGTTCAATGGTAATAGACATGTGTGTTGCTGCTACACTGACTTAAAAGATATTTTCATCTTTTCTGACAGGTGGGCGGATGAATGAACATTGGCTTTAATGCTCAGCACATGTGAAACTGGTGTAAAACAAAGGGGAGCATTTTAAGTTTTGCATGTGTGTGTCAGGTCAATGTCACACATCATCGCCATTACGACCACTGTTTTATGCAGAACAGTAGTACTGCACAGTACATCCACACTGCGACACTGGCTTTGTATCAGTTCATCAAAAATAAATATTATATATATATATATATATATATAAAATAATATTTACATTTTGATCTAGGCAATTTAGCAGGATTTATTTCCTATTCAAGCTGATCTTTGTTTATTTTCACCTACTTTACAGACACTCAACACACTTAAATTCTCCCCTAGGCTCACGTTCAAACAAGCTGTTTCCTTTAGAATTTTCCCATTTTTCTGCCAAATGATGTTGTGATACTGACAGATGTAAAACACGACATGAGAAGATGTGCGAACACTCTGAGCGGAGATGATGCATGCTGCCACAGCTGCAGCTTTGAATAGAGCCTGCAATCATCCTGTCAGTCAGATCTAATGAACAGAGGGAAAACTTTGTCTGCATTGTACTGGGCTTTTTTTCCCTGAAAATTAAACATTTTTCAGATCATCCTCTGAGATTCTGAAAAGTCTTAGAATAAAAAAGACTGTCATATTTTTGCATCTTTCTAACATACAACAACATCATTCAATGGATTTGAATGGAATGTAGTTATCCCCAGTTTAGACTTTAAGCTTAATATCTGAAGAATTAAATCCCTCAAAACCATCAATCTGTCAGATGACTAATGCGGTTTCTAACTTCTTTTTCATTGCTTCCAACTTCTTGATGATTATGTATTTAATTTTCTATCCCGCTCTTATGTTCATTGCAGTTGCTCTGAATGAGAGGGCCATTTTAATGACTATAACTATTAATCAGTTTCCTGTTAGACCCTCAGGGAAGTGTGAAGTGGCCAGAAGAGGGAGCTGATATCCAAGAATTATAATACCTCAAATTCAGTCCCTGTTGGTTTGCTTTCCTGCACATTACGTTTCTACAAAGTAATACCACGGTTCTCCTTGAGCTTTGCACCCCATTTTTTAACATTTCAGGCTGCAAACAAAATTGCATTCAGCGATTACCTCAACATCAATAGCATCCCTGTTCTGTTTGTCAGTGTTCAGTATCGACTAATGTGCTCGACAATAAAAGGTGAACAGTGGGAGGGCCATCCAGGACACATCTGAGGCACACATCAGGACAGAGGAGAGGTGAAAATGAGACGCGGGTGAATAAAACATGTCTCTGAGGATGTTGCCTTGTTTTACCGCTCTCTGGGCTCAGAGAGAACTGTGAGC